CTTCGAATCAGAATTCAAGAATGTAAATTAGTTGTATTCTTTCATATCAATTTATTGTTTACCAGCTAGCTGGTAAATTTGATCTGTATTGTGTTTGTTAATTGCTGTCTGATTCATTCGAGTGTCAACCAAGCTTCTAGAAATTCCCTGACTGCATTGTTGATATTCCCACTATTTTCACAATTTCTACATTCATCCACTCAAATTGATGTCCGTGGTTATCTACATGCATCGATATGAAAGAATACATATCGAGTGTTTTCACAGCCAATTTACAATCTTGAATTCTCACTTGAAAGGGACTCCCGCTTTGATTGAAGTAGTGTTTGTTGCGGTCGATACAATTAATTCTGTCGAATCTTTTTGTCTACAGAGTATTGAATGAAGTGATTGTGTTGGCTTTGTGTACTGTGTGTGTGTTTCAAATCTTCTTAGTATTTTGTGGCTGTTAATTTCACAGATGCTCTTTATATACGTGTAAGGTGAATAAATAAATCGCCGTGAATAGACACGAGATGTATTCTTTCATATTGATGTGTGCATATCATTACAGACACCAATCTGAGTGGGATAATGTACGGATCTTAAATAGAGCAAACATCTACAATGCAGTCAGGGAATTTCTACAAGCCTGGTTGATTCACGAATGAATCAGACAGCAGTTAACAAACACACATTACTATAGACCAAATTTAACAGCTAGCCAGTAAAGAATAAATCGCATAAGAAGAAAGTTCGAATCCCATGTCAGTCAATAAAAGCGATCAATAAAGATGTAAACTAACAAAGAACGAATCACGACAACGGTTGTCAGGAGGAGATACAATGAAATCAACATTTTATGGGGAATTGAAATAACTTCATTTCATATCAAAACGTGTACTGATGATGTTGTCTAGAAGCGGCATAATGAAAACTTCTCTATTAAATCAAGCAGCTCCTCAAAGAACAATAACTAAATCAAGATCATCCAACTGAGCTACAAATCTTCTCTACTATTTCAAGCAATCGTTTGCAGCAATTTGATTGATAATATTATTTGGCAACAAAATATATATATATATATATATATATAGATTTTGATGAATTAAAAAATTGTAAAACACGCGCAGATCTCATGATCCTTGGCTTTCATTGGCTTTGATTTATTTTTTCTTATCGATCTGATTGATTAATCAATTAGGGTATATTTTTGACAAATCTGATTGGTCTGTTTTTCTATAGTTGGCAATCAATCACCTGAGTTTCAACTTTCTCAGTTAACTAACTAACTACAAAAAGTACATTGCTCAAGAACAACATCATTCAACAGTGTGTGTGTGTGTGAGAGAGAGCGAGAGAGACATAAAAAATCAAACCGAACCAACCTATACACAGAGCATGAAACATTTTAACAAGCATCTTTTAAAAAACTAAAGTTCTGCAACAAATAGTCATACTTTCAATCAAACAGCGTATATATAATTGTAAGGAGTGGATTACATCATGCATAGGAAAGGCACGGAGAAATACGACCATATATAGAGATACAAAGAGTTAGTGAGTGTAGAGTAAATTTAAACTGTGTGATCAAATTGCAGTTTTTAACGTGTTTAAAAAAAATAGTTGTTGTGAATTTCTGCACACAATGAACTGAGTTCTCTGAATGTTCGGTATGTGATTGACTACTATCAGATCTGAGAAGAAGCTACAGGACTGAATTACATCGACAAAGGGTCAGGTTGGAAAAGCGTTACCTAGTAGCGGTGGTCAAACCAAAACATGGCCGAATCAGTCAATGAAATCCATAACAGTTAGTTTAAGCCACTTAGGAAAATGTAGACTTCCTGTTTGGGGTCCTCAGGATGGTATAAACCAATGAAGGCTGGAGACAATTGGTGACATGGCTCAAAGTGATCGTTGTCAATGGCTGGCGCAGATGCATCCACTCCTTGTGACTTATATTAACAAAAAAAACTATATGATTCTTCGATATTACTATTCTTTTTGCCTCGTATTTCAGTTTAATATCTCTAATTTGCATTGCTTTTACTTTATTCTCTTGCTTTGTATGCTACCTGGAGGGCGAGTAGTGACTCGAACTGCTTCACATCGCTGCAAAGTTCTTTGTTGAAACTAGTCAGTCAGTCAGGATTACATCGACTCCTAACTTTAAGGCATGCCTGAGTGAAGTAAAAGAGAGTGTTGACCACTTCATTTATTAAGGAAGTTGTGTTAGACCCAACGGAGTGATAGCTTACAAAATCTAAGCACAGATACAATGAACCCGTATGGTGTTCACCAAGTTGCGTTATCTCTGGAGTAGACATGATAACCATCTGGCTATCGAACAAAAGATGTGTCTACTGCTCAGCTGTTGGCTCCGTCCTTCTTTATGATTTGAGGCATGGGCACTGAAAGTGGGAGATACGAAATGGTTACCTGTCTTTGATCTAAGTGACTGTTACTCAAGCTTAGTCATCGCCTTCATCGACGGGAAACGTTAGCTAACTTAGGGTAAGGTTGGAAAAAAAAAGCTAAAGGTGGTCAAATCAAACCTTGCAATCAGTTCGCGAGATTTTCGATCTGAGTCGGTCTGAGCCATGTAGGGAGGTGTAGGCTTCCTGGTTGGGGTCCTCGAGATTTCAAGAACCAATGGCTGAATATAGTTCAAAATCATTCTCAATGGGGTAGACACATACGCTCTTTGTGACTCACTAGCATGCCTTAAACCCCTCGTATTTCTTCATGTTAGTATTCTTTGTTCCTCACATTTCTGTTTAGCATTTTTCCCTTGAGTCTCATTTTTCTCTCTTTTATCTTCTTTTGTGTGCTAAATAGCGTAGAAAGTTCAACTGGTGCACCTCTGTGTAAATTTCTGTGTTGAGACCAGTCAATCGATCAGTCATGGGTGCGTACTGCTAAAGAGTCCCAAACAGGTGTGAAACAGTTATTCAGTACTCAATACTGGCTTTCTATGTCCTTAATAAATCTGAAAGGTTACAAAGTGTGCATGCATATTCAGCTTTTCAGAAGACTTTTGAGCCACATCATCAACAGTCTCAAACTATTGATTCCTAGCTCCTCAAGAACGCCAACCTGGTAGTATGTACGTCTTTATGTAGCCAACATCAACCACTAAACGCTTCCATGATTTGATTATGGCTATGCTTAGCTCTTTTTTTTCTACAACCTAATCTTATGTCAGATAACACCACTGTTCAGCGAGAAAGGCAGTGGATTTCAACACGTGTTCCACCCACCACAATCGATGTAGCTTCATCGTCACCTCATCGATCAACCTGTCCTCCTTACCGTTTCATTTTATAAAGATCATAAAAAAGTGATTACATTTATGTGATGATTATCGATTTCAGTGAAAGAGAGAGAGAGAAGACGGGATCAGTATATGAGATGTTTTATAGAATCAGTTGTTCGCAAGTATAAAATGAACAGAAGATATTAGACAAATAATTTTAGGTGGGTGCAAATTATTCTCATTTCAAAGTAAAAATTAATTTATGTTAAAGCTATCTAAGTCCAACTGATAGTAGTTAACTTGACGTGGTGGTCGAGCTTGCATATCGCAATGACCCAACAAGCTACACTGGCTGGAAAAAATGTTCCTGCAGGTACTAACATGCCCGGGAAGATTGGTAGGATAGCGATTAGACTAAAAGCAGTTACCGTCATAGTTTAAGAAGTTTTTTACACTATGGCCAGAAGTCTGTGGGCGAAGTCTTACTGCTGGGGAACAGGGATGTAACAACAGTAAGATATTTCCCTCAAATGACCAGCATACCAGTAAGGCTGTCTCTTATTTACTCTGGACAGAGTGGGGTAGAAAATGTCGACGCTAAAAATTAAACATCTTGATTTTCCCTACGGTGGTCCGTAACTGGCGGTAAATCTACTAATATGGAACCAATCCAAGAAACCAGTTCATACAGACCGTGTGTGACCGACCCCAAGCAGTTGTTCCCTAGGCTCTTTGGTCACTCAAAGCTAACCTTCTTTCTGTTTCAGGTCAGTCAGTCAAGGCTATATAAGGTTTCAAATGGTCTTTGGTGGGTGATTGAAATTGAAATACAATTAGGGATCACAGTAGAGTTCAAACTAACGGCTTCCAAATTGCCAAATTGGCATTCTATCAGTTGAACTATTAGATCATAATGATTTCAGTGGAGTGACTCTCCTAACTCAGCTGGCTTAGAGCACTGGATCAAAAAGTTCATTCGGAAGCTGCTAGTTCAAGTTCTAACGCGACCGATAGCCTTCATTCTACCTTCTATCACATTACGAATTCAAGTGCTGTTTTGCAGGGATTTCATTGGGTGCAGGACTTCATCATGAGCTGATATCGGTAAGAGAACCATTGAAAAACCAGCAGGGTGTACTGGACAACTGTTTCGTCGTAGGTTTAGTTTCTCCATCAGCACACATCTAACGCCAAGGTTTGAACTCAGAACCTCCTACTTTCAAAGCAAGCTCGTAGACCACTGGGAGTCGACCCAATGACCAGCTCATGAATTCCAACTTCTGCCAATTCACAATAGCGCCCCGACCACTAACCAATATCATTGTTGGCGAAAATTTGTCCTCACACCCGACCTGCTGTTCCCCATTGATCAAGATTTCCCACTAGAACCCAAGTAACTACTTACATGAAAATATAGGTATAATTACAAGATACAAAGAGTTGAGTTTGATATATTAATCAATATTAGACTGTAGAAATCAATTACACTGCCAGTAGTACTTGTCCGTAAAGTCGGAGATAACAGACATGAATTGTATATTCACAGTATGAACTCTTACAAAGTGAACATTGACATACAGGCAGAGATACTGACCAACTAATGTTTTCTTTCAACATCAATATACATTAAAATAAATAAAACAGATTGTATGAATAAAAAGCAGAAAACAATTGAAAAATAATCAAAATGCATAAACGCACACATACATGTGTTATAAATTGTAAATACAACACAACATGAGATGTAGTCAGTATCACTTACCATGTCCGTTTGAAATCGATAAGTGAGCATTTTCTTTTTCTCTGGATCTAAATGAGGTGAAAAAGAGACAAACCAATAACAGGAACGAGAGAAAAACAAAATCACTAAGGCGGGGGGGGTTGGTCAGAGATAAAATAGAGAACTGATTTTATTCAATCGTTTCAGCAGTATCATCGTAAGGTTATAGAAAAAGAGAGCTATAAAATGAGCAGAAATGTACTAGAGAGAAGGGACAGAAACATTGGAAAAAAACATGAGGATTTAATGAATCTAGAAGTTTACGAAGAGCGCAGGCATTTGAGGCATTGAGAACGATTCTGGACTGTAATCACTAACAGTCTCCAGTAATTGGTTCTTAGAATTATGAAGACTCTAGTCTGACAGTCTACATCTACCTAAGTACGTGGCTGGCTCGAAAAAAGCCGAACGTAAAAGACTTGATCTTCTGGTGAATAAAATAAGCTTCGGTAATCCTAACCCACTTACAACCTGATTCTATGTGTCAGCCAATATTGTGTGACGATGACGGTGGTAGCTGGGTATGCACAGCACATCTCTTAGCAAGCTCAGCCTCATCAGTTGACTTCCATTTCCTACTTAGCACTCCACGACCAATCGAAATATTAATCACCAGACTAGATCAATTAACGCGGTAGACGGAATGTATTCCATGTATTCCACTTTCAATGGCCAGGTCTCACATAGCACTAAAGAACAAAGTGGAATGATAGAAAATGACATATGCAAGAATAAAACCATTGATGAGCTTGGTTTGTAACACCAGAAAACAAAGGCCAGGCCACAGATCGTTAACTGAGAAAATCAAGAGATATTCATAGATTTTTATGTACATTATTGTCAGAGAAGACATAACGTTTTCTGATTGGTTCTTTTCTTGCTGAAGGTTATTCTGCCATCTCTTTGTGCCGTTTCTTATAAAGTTAAGCCATATATCTGTCAATCATATTTCAACACGTGAAGTCTGCTGTGATTGTCTGTGGATTTTCGCAAGGTTAAGCTTTGTTATTGTTTTTTTTTTCTCATGACCCTGATTCGGAACGTGAACACTGACGCAAATTGTTGTCTACAATTTTGGCCAGGAGATAGCCCTCATCACGGGTTCTGAGCGAATGAAGCTCCTGTCAGGTGTATTGATCACTTCTATCTCCCAGTGTTGTCAAACTACTCATATCGGCTGATCAGTCAGTAGTATCAGTAGTGTATCATGCATTGAAACCAACAAAACAAAACAAAATATGGTGCATTTAATCAAAAAAAAATACTTACCATAAACATCAATTGTGAATATTTCCGATTTTATTGTACAGCATCGTTTAATGTTATGCAGTTTGATAAATTTCTGCAATCATAGAATAAATAAAATATATTATAAACATTAAAAAAGGACTCAAGTCAAAATGATAGTTAGAGAAAAACCCATAACAAACAATAAGCACTAGTAACTAGGGGAAACAAGTGACAATGGATTGAAACCGTTTAAATATTATGCACACAAGTTCAGAAAATAACCATTCAACCACCAATGAGAGAAAACCAAACAAAATATCGACCCTTTTGTTTCACAGCTACAGAGAGATGGTACACATGAGGATTTTAAAGTCAGTCAGGATCAGAATAGCAAGACACATTCTCATTAGTCTGATATCACTGTGAGAATTTGATGCATTCAGAATACGGAACAGGAATTGGATCTTCAACTCTAATGTCAAGTTAGTCAGTGCTTCTATACGGTTGACATCCTTGACGTGCGTATCACAAAAAGCATTTCCAACAGACCAATGTAGGTTTTCATAAGCAGTTGCCTTGTTTGACGCGATACTGAGGATAGGACGGTCGATCAGAAATTGGATAAGTAATAAGGAACTCTACTTACTAACCAACTAATAACTTATCACCCATCATGGGTAAAATTTATTTTGATAAAGTCTCACAGTATTATACAGTACCTAGAATTTTGTTGTACAGCTACCTAGAATGGTGGCCACAGTGCAAACCTGACTGATAGAATTCAGTCTGCACCAAAGAAAGGACTAGACACGTCACACTGATTACTAGTGTCCAATTAAAATACCCACTACAGTCCTACAGGAGGTCAATCGCGAGATAGCCTGAATAGCTCAGCGGTAGCGTCTCTGACTGCAACCTCACTGGGTGACGCGGATTCGAACCTCAGAAGCAGGGACATGAGTTCCTTCAAGGTTGTAGATACGTTTTGCTGACTAGTGAACGGCAACTAACACGAAACCTAGGTCCAAGGCTTCCTGCTGATTGCCTCCAACTATCTAATGTCAGTAATATTTACTGAGGACGTTTCGAGCACAATTTATTGCTCGTAATCATATCAAGGCACTACTCACACAACTTTCTAACTTCGTTTATATAATTCCATTATATTCAGTCGCTTGGCTTGATTGCTAGTAGTAAGTAGTACTTTCCATATTTCCGGTATGAGTGATGAGTCATTTCTATTGCACGTGTCAGGTGTAGACTCAAAAAACAAGGATTCAGTAATCAACTTTTTTCACCATCTACCTATATTACTTGTTAGAATTTTAACCATCTCCTACCCTATTGTGTGTTAATGCATGCAGTGCAACTGTTGAGCTTTTTTCTATATTACTTATCTTCTCGGGATAAACCATTGTTACTTTGGCTAAATCCTTACGTTCCAAAAATCTAACAAACTACTACTACTACTGTAACAACAAAAGACAAGGGCCGGCAACAGATCGTTTTACTACGGAAATCAACACGTATTTATACATATTTTATGTACATTACTATAGCTTATTCAATCAGACAAACACAGTCTTCTGATTGGTTGTTTCTTGCTCAAGGTGACTGGTTTCTCGGAAAGTTAAGCCATATATTTGCGAATCTTATTTCCCCACGTTAAGTCTGCTGTGATAAGTTGTTGAATCAGCCTTGTTCATATTTTCTCACGGCCAATATTAGTGACCTAGACATTGACGTAAATTAATGTCTACCAATTGGCTAGCAGCCTGCTCTCACCACAATAATAGTTGGTAACAGCTGTTTAGGGAATTCACAGAAAATTTTCAGATATTGGTTTGTAGAAATTTTGTTTCATTGGTTAGAGGATTTCATCGTGAGCCGACATCCGTTAGAGAACCAATGGATAACCAGTCACAGAGAGGACTGGACAGCTGTTTCGCCTGCCTAGTTTGGGAGTCTTCAGCAGTACGCACTCACCACAGGGTTTTCTCGTTACAAGATGAGCTCGTAGACTATTAGGCCACTGGGACCCGACTCGATGGTCAGTGTATGAATCCCAGCTTCTACCAACTCGTGGTTAATTGATTTGTATCTTAAGCCTGTTTACTAATCATCTTATTCTTCTTAGTCATCACAGTTTTAACAATTTCCTGATTATGTAATAACTTGTTGCTAAACCCTACGAATTAATTGACTTTGAGACTCCGTGATTAATCTAACACCTACATAGAAATTTAGATATCTCGTGTTTTGATGTTTTTATTACCTATTTTTAAAAATTGTATTGCTCTACGTTCCCAGTGGAATATAGGGCTTCAAGCTAGAGCTTTGTAGTCTCAATAGCAGTGGTTTTTATTTCTCCGGGATGGCGTTGCTAGTCTCACGACAAACCTTCCCTCTTAACCGGACTTAATACCGGCTTAGAGAGGCCAAGGAGTGTATCAGCCGGAGATTGAACCCCAGGCTACATGGGTGTTCTACCGCTGAACAACCGACACACTGATGATGTTTATAAATTAGTCATCCTTATTGACTCGCATAATCAATTGACTGATATGATTTTGATGTGAAAAACTATACATACATTAGTGCAGAGGTCATAATGAGGGATTAATTGAAAAGGAATATAATTTTTCGCTCGATTTGCCGCTTTAAAAAAAAAATTATTTCATTATAGAATAATACTAACCTTCAAAACATTTAAAAAAAAAAAACAAACAAAATAACCAAACAAAAACTGACCTGTTCATCACCAAATTTAATCACAAATCCATCTGATAGGATACTGATAGTGCCCGGTTGATTGTTGTCCACATTGACTGCATTAATCTCACCATCTAAATCTCCATCTGAATAAAAGTAAAAAACAAACAAACAACCAAAATGTATAAGCATGAAAATACTCGGAAACAATTTAACAGTGATTACTGTTATTATTATTATTAATATTATTAGTATATCCTTTAGTTCCTAGAGAAACATAGGGCTTCAGCTGCGCACCTCCATTGCCCTCGGTTTTCTGACAACTTTTTCACCCTGCTCCAGGTCTGTCCACATGCTTTCATCTCCTCCTCGCATGACCTCCTCCAAGTCACCCTCGCACTGATGACCAACTCGCCGCCTCCCTTTCGGGTTCCACTCGAGGGCTTGTCTAGTGATGTCACTTGATGGTTTCCTCAGCGTATGGCCAATCCATCTCCATTTCTTTCTGCCTATTTGTTTCACAATCGGTTCCTGCTGAGTTGGTTCGCTCATTGACAGAGATCCCTGTTGCTGATCTTTTCTGGCCATCTGATCTTGAGTATTGAGCGAAGACAGTTACTGTTATTATCTCATTATTATTCCTATTGGGTTATGAGTAAAAAAAACATTTGGCTTCAACAGCCTATCATCATCTCACTGTGTTATCTGCAGTCTTTTCTAGCTAACTTCATAACAGTGCATAGGCTTTAATCTCCTCCAATTCACACTCGGACCCACTTCCAACTCGTCCATCTGAGAGGTATGATGTCGCGCAACTGTCTCTTCAACTTAAATCAACTGCATTTCCATCTCCTGCATATATATTGGGCTACATATTGTTGATTGTTTCAAAGTTCCTTGTTGCATATCCTTCCTGATCTTCAGTATCCACCCAAAGGAGAGAATTCTTGATGAAAGTCAGCAGTAGCCTTTTCGAAGTGCTCTCAGTTATGCAATCTTCAGGTCACTGAACTACACGGAGGCACGGATTTGACATTAGTTTTGGAAAATCCAAATCCTGTTTTATTGCCATCCATGCTCAATGCAGCAGATTTCCACGCCTATTTCGGAGTATTAAAGATCCTGTCTCTGATGCTCCCATCCATTCCACCTGTAGCTGAGACGATATTGACTAGATAAATGGAAGAGTTGATGTCTTTTAGATTTCTTCCATTGACGATGATTCGTGCTTGTTTTTGCTATTGATCAGGTATCTTTATCGTTTCTGTCTTGGATGCTTTTTCTGTTGACTTATTGATTTTTGCAATTAAAGAATTACGCCATATCGAAAATAAATCATCCAATCGAGAGAACGAATACTACACATCAACGGAGTAATTAATGACAATATGAACACAATCATTGAAAAGATCCTCTCCAGACAACATACCGCACTCATGACATTTTCACCCCTTTCCTTAAAAATTCCAAAGCCTGACTTCACTGTAAAGTAATCGTTGAAATTATTGTCTTGCAGGACACTGGAATTGTTAGAATTAAAGAAAATATTCTACGTATGTTTATAATCTTGCTTGCTCCTGTGGAGTTAATTCCACTGGCTGGACAAAGCACACACTTTGTGAATACATTTCTGAACATTATCCGACATACTTGCCAGTAGAATAATGCAAAACAATTACTAGGTCGATTCTCAAGCACCCGAGCAAGCTCACATCATGCAGCTACACCAAAAGTCGTCTTTTAAAACTATCTGCAATATGAGACAGAATAGTGCAATAGGTATTAGGTTTAGGCCACTTGTAAATAGCCGAGGGGTTAGCGATGTGTCAATTTAACCCTGATCTCTGTGTGTAGAAAAGGTTTTCTCAGTCTTCTATTCTATTATGGTTTTAATCTCTGTCCTAACTTATCGCTCCTATCATTAGTAATTAATTCGCCACTATCACTCGTACATGTTCTTTATATGAATTTCACCAAGTTTATTTTCTCACCCTCTCTATACTTGTCAAGTGGACACTCAACTACCATGCTTCTCATGTACTGACAATTATCATCAGAGAAGAGACTCAATTCAACGGATTTAGAATCAAACTGTGCAATCGTCTGGAAATGGCTTTCAAGAAATTATATCCAGTGACGACATTTAAGCAGAGGTGTGAATACAAAAAATATTAATATTAGTTTTTAGGAGTTTGACCATGGATTGATACCAGTTAGAGAACCACTGAAAACCAGCACTAGACTACTGGACAGCTTAATCCTACCTCGAGAATCATCGGCAGTACGCACCCACTGGGATTCAAACCCAGGAAGGGAAGATCGTATTCAATTCAGCCACTGGGACCCAATTCAATGGCCAGCCCATGAATTTTAACTTCTACCAGTTCGTGATTTAGTGCGATCACCAACCAATGTCATCGATGGGACATACGTCCCCACATCCTTGCAAACCAACTGTTTAAAATTAATCTGATGCTCGCTGGTGAACTTGCTACAGGATGGAGTTTCTTGGAGTTCTAGTGGGAAGTCGTGACCAGTGAGGTCAAACCAGTCACGTGTGAAGATGGATGTCCCACCAATAACATTAGTTGGTAGTCGCGCTTAATCAACAATTGGTAGAAATTAGAATTCATTGATTGGCCAGTGAAACGAGTACCAGTGGCTGAATGGTTTACGAGCCAGCTTGCCTTGTAACTGGAAGGTCTTGGATTCGAACCCTGATGGTGGGTGCGTAATGCTGATGATTCCCAGACTGGGACGAAACAGCCGTCAAGTATTCCCTGCTGGTTTTTAATGGTTCTCTAACTGATATCAATCCGTGGTCAAACTCGTGTGAACAGATCGAATCCTTACAAACCAAACTCTTGAAAACAAAATTATTTTGAAAGGCAATTATAAAGTGTCTGTGATTATAATCATAGTTAAGTATCAATTGTCAAGTGGTAAGATAAATAATGTCATATATAGAATAGTTCATAGGATGTATAGATATTGTAAGAAGGAGGGAAAATCATGGGATAAGTAGGCAAATATAGAACGTTACACAACGTGGTATGAAATTTGATAAGATAAAGTCTAATATTGCAAAACATTTTTGATTTAGAGTGAAGGTGTGGAACAAGTGAAATAATACCGCATACAGTTCAAAGTGAGAATAGTGATAATTATAATAACCGAAGTAATGAGAGAAAGATACACAGATTAACTTTAAAAAAAACAATATGAAAAATAAATAAATGTTCATCCATCTATGGCTAAGATAGAAATAGGCACTGTACATACTTCTCCCTACACAAAGATCTGGCTTAAATTTATGAATGGCTAAGGCTTTTGCTGTCTTTAAAAGTTTAGAACAAAGTAATCGTGGTAAACTAGCATGAATTCGATAGATGGTCAGGGCTGGGAGAGTGACAGAAGTCGATCAAGTGTCCTAGAATACAGCATCTCATATCTTTCTTTCTCTTTTGTAAATCCACGCTAGAATATGTTCTCGTATCCTTGTGGAATCATCGCCTTACTGAATTTCGAACGCTTACTTCAACTGTGTCGTCGACATTTAGCTATTGTGATGAGGAAAGAAGGAGTGGTTGAATGATCTTTTTTCAGTATACAAAACTCCAGCTTTTCTACTTCGATGACCGAAGCTTCAGCAATACAGATGAGTCAGATACGTTAGGATTTTCGTAGATTTATTTTTGCCTAATGGATAACTTTATAAGAAGAGACTATAGAGATATGGTGACCAGTATCTCCCAGACGTTCAATTATTGTATATCTTATAGCCTTGCGTTCACCTCTTCGTGACTTAACCAGTTCATATCCTTAAAAAAAAGATTTCAAAGTCCCTGAGAGGGATATTCGCTGTAGCAGCGTTGCGAATAGCGTTTTATTAGCGACGATTAATGTACAGCAAACTGAAGGATAAAATCCCGAAGTTAACTAACTCTGTGGGCGTTTATTAATTCACCTACTGTTTTGGAGCTAAGTAAATAGGCTGTTTGACAGGGGTTGTGTCCAACATGGATGTACAGTGGTAAAAGTGGAGCTATAAGTAGCTCAATAACTGGATGTTTGATACTGAAAACTTTATATATGCAGTCTCTTCCTTTAAAACTATCCACAAGATAATTACGCTCAACTGGAATTTGCTCAAATAGATCAAATTTATGTGAAACAATAAAGAAAAAAGGTTGCACAATCAATATGCTTAAATGTCATTACAAAACGAAACGACTAGCAAACAATGCAAATGAATGCAATCCGACGATAATCTCTGGAGTTGACTAGTCACAACAATTGTCACCATGGGAAGACAGTCATACCATTCATGTAGAATTCACATTGAAAGTACCACTACAGATGTTATCCATGAAGGAACAATAAAAGCTTAACAATCAAGTCATGCAGTTGAGTAGACGTAACGAGGCCAAAACAATTAACCTGAGCTATAAATCTTCTGTCATTTATTTCAAACCATTGACAAGAACACGTAGTACTTAGTCATTCATATTTTGTGAAAATCACTACCACCACCACCACCAACAACAACAAAAACAATCAAAAGTGTCAAGAAGCACTAAGTAATTATATGCATAGTTATGATGATACTATGCATTACAAAGTGATGCGAGATAGAAATTAACAGAAATGAAGATTAGAACAGTTACAGTGAAGAAATACGTTGTACAAAATATTGATTTCAAATATGAAGTTAAGGCATTTATTACTGTACGACTGCTGATTTCATTGAGACATAAATGATGAGTACATAAAGTTCTACGCTAGCTGATTTCTTCAAATGTCTGCTGATAATGGACTGAGACTCAATGTGGAACTTTACATAGAAGTATACTAATAAACTTGAAGAAAAAAGGGAATTCAAAAGAACTACATTGAGCATAGAACTATACTATACTTTATCTACCTGAGAAGCATTGTTTCAACTACAGGCGGAACTGACGAGGATATCAAAGCCAGATTCGGAAAAGCAAGACAAGCTTTCATTACTCTTAAGTCAGCATCAAAAATAAGATCCAGATCTTCAACTCCAATGTGAAGTCAGTGCTACCTACTATACGGATTAGACTTGGCGCGTCATAAAGAGCATCTCAAACAAACTTCAGACCTCCATCAACAGCTGTCTTGG